CCCCCCCCCGCTTTTACTCTTAAGTTGTCACAACCAAAAATGTCTTCAGACTTTGCCAAATGCCCCTGGGAGGAAATTTTTGTGGTTGAGAGCCATTGTAATTCTCTCCAAACTGTTTCAGTATTTTTTAAACCCACTATTTAGTCTTCATTTTGAAACTACTGCTTTAAGTCCATTGCATATCCTCAAAGTCTCAAATTTTGATTTCTTAAAAATTTTCTTAGGGAAAGTACCATTATACTGTAGAAAGGTCACCAGACTCATTCTTTAATTCATGTTGTGATTTTGAGTTAATTAACAAACTATCCTGACATTTCCCTGCAAGAAAAATTAAAATCATAGGTTCCCTGCTCATCCCATAATCTAGTTAACTAAAATAAAAATAAAAATACATAGTGAAAGAATTTGTTAAGGAACAAACATTTTATAATAAGCATCATCTTTATCAGAGAAAGTATGGGTTGTATTTTAGAGAAAATACGGTACTTAGATACGGAAAACATAATAAAATTTTCATTCAAGAGAGTCACTAATTGTATATTTCAGACTCAGTAAGAACATTAGAGGCATTAAGATCTTTTACCGACCAACTCTCAACTCCCCTAAAATCATCTCTTGGGAGAATTAATCAATCTCATCTTTAAAAGTTCAGTACAGAGACTTCACTCTCTTCTACTGCATCTGATTCCAGTGAGACCATTCCTCCATTCTTTCACTCACAGTCATTCATTCATTCAAAACTTTATTAAGCACCAACTTCTAAAGCTCCACAAATGCATCTTGATGTTGAGCTGGTTTTTGCCTTTCTGTAATTTTACTCTGCTCACTAGAATCACTTAGAATAAGTTTAGTATCTTTTTTGCATGACAGATTCTCACACATTTGAAGCCAGCTATAGTGTTCCTGAAAGAATTTCTTTTCTTCAGGCTAAATGCCCCAGTTCCTTCAGCTGTATTTGACACCATCAAGACCTTCATAAGCTTTGGCACTGTCCCCTAAATGCGAGTTCAGAATTAAGTGCCATTTCACATGGCCTGGCAAAGACAGAGCAGAGTGGGGCACTTGGCCCTCCCAGTGTGGGCACCATATCTCTGATAATGCAGCCCCACTGAGTGGGCTTTTGTTGGTTGTCCCATTGGGTACTGGGGATTTATTCAGCTTGTATTAAAATGAAGTTAACAATTTTTTTTTACTGCTGGGAAGCAGTGTACCGGTGGGTTTATTTGTTCTGTCATTGTTCTGTTTTGTTTTTATATTTTACCTAAAAAAAAAAAAAACTTTTATACTTGGCCCTTTTAAATGTAATTGTGTTAGATTTCACCTATCATTTAAATATTTTACAATCTTTTTGTTTTCTTATTTTCTCATTCAATCATACATCCCTGCTTCACATGACCACAAGCATTTCTCAGATGCATTAGAACAAAGCAACAAAATAAAACAAAATAATGCTAGATTAGCTTAGTTGCTAGATGACTGAAAAGTGAGTCCCTATTTTCCAGGGCTAGATTTCAAATATCAACTCCACTCATAAAATTAAAAACAAAAAGGGAAAAGAAACCCATTTCTCCTTTAGTGAGTCGAAGCCCCATTTACATTTATTTTTATGCACTTTGAGGTTCTCAAATTTAAAACTACAGAACGTATTAACAGTATTCTCCCTGTCGGCCAGCACGGGGATGAAGTCACTGGGGACAATACCAGCACTGAGAGGGACACCGCGTGACCAGGAGCACGGCCCGCTGTCCCAACGTCACCGCCGATGCTGAGGTAAGTCGAGCACCAGCTGGGTCAACTATTTAAAAAGATCAAATGTGACCAACCTAAACAGTAGTGTACGTTGTGTGTGCCTCAGCTCGAGAGGAATTTTCCATTTTTAGAGCCAAGTGCATTTTACACAGGGTTGGGCCAAAGTTGGTTTACAGTTGTTTGTGTGGAAAATAACACAATGGTTTATAAACAGCGATACAGAAGAAATGCTGTGTTCTGCCTACTCACACCGTAAGCCTCCTCGGGCCCTATCCTGTATTTTAAAAATAAATATGACAGTATCACAAAATGTCTATTAATTTTGTGATAGTTATATTTCCAGTGCTGTTTCTTTCCAGCGCTTTTTAAAATTATTATTTTTTGTTTAAAATATCACAGATGTCCCTTTTTCTCCCCAATGACCCGTTCCACCCCGTCCC